ATATATTTTTTTTTTTATCAAAATGATCGAATATGATTGATAGCTAACACTAATAACACACCAGTAGATCCAAGAAAACAAATCAAATATATTTCTCTCTTCTGCTATTATTTTTTTTTTTATTCTGGGCCAGAATTCATTTGAAAATGTAAGATCAGCAAAAGCTTGTTGATTCTCATGATGTTAAAGGAGACAAACGTGTGAACGGAAACTGTGACTGAGGTCACGACTAGATAAATATCACAGTTCAGTCGTGTTTCAGATCAATCTGAGTGTTTTAGACATTAAGAGTTACTATCGTGGGCTTTTCAGTGAACCGATGAAGAAAATGATTCTCAAATTAGTTTTGCTCTGTTTGTGTTTCTGGCGTCTGGATGGTGAGTTTATGACTTCAGTTGTTTTCCTATTTGTTACCATGGAAAAAAAAATACTGGTTAAAATAGTAAGAGAGGATTAACACTCACTGTTATTCTCATAGAAATAAATGTGAGGTCAAGTTTGATTTGAAAGTTTTTCAAGGTATTCAGTTATTAGTGATTGATTCAGTCAAATATGAAGCTTAAATACCCAACAGCATTAGTCTTAGTTGTAGTAAAATTCTTTCTTTTTAGTTATTTTTCTGTATAAAATCTATTTCACATTTGAATGATTACAAGGATTTTAGTGAATCTTCATCAAACCAACATTAAGTGATTTTAAACTTTTACTCTGTGAAAACTTCTTCAGGTGTGTTTGATGATTCAGTGACATCAGTGTCAGTGTGGGAGAGAAGCTCAGTCTCTCTAAACTCTGGTCTTACTGAAATAAAGGATGATGATGTGATTCAGTGGAGGTTTGAAAACACATTAATAGCTGAAATCAATAAACGGGCCGACAGAATCACTGTATATGATGATGTTCTTGATGGGAGATTCAGAGACAGACTGAAGCTGGACAATCAAACTGGATCTCTGACCATCACACACACCACAACTGAACATGCTGGAGTTTATGAACGACTGATCAACAGTGAGATCAAGCCTTTTACTCTTGCTGTCTATGGTGGTGAGTTAAATATTTTTTTGACCTGTGTTAATCAGCACATCATACAATTATTAATCCAAACTCCATTTTGCGTCTGTTGTTTTATGATAATATTAACTTCAAATTTAAATTTTAAACTATTTACTTTAGTAAACCTTCAAATAACTGTCCTAATCTGTGACGAACCCTGTTTCTGTTTGTTCTCTGTGTGGATGATTCAGGACTGGAGTCAGTGTCAGTAAAGAAGGGAGATTCAGTCTCTCTAAACTCTGATCTTACTGAAATGAAGGATGATGATGTGATTCAGTGGAGGATTAAAAACAATTTAATTGCTGAAATCAATAAGCAGGCCGACAGAATCACTGTATATGATGATGTTCTTGATGGGAGATTCAGAGACAGACTGAAGCTGGATCATAAAACTGGATCTCTGACCATCACAAACACCATATTCAGAGACACAGATAATTATGAACTAGAGATCAACTATAAGAGGATGATTTTCAGTCTCAATGTCTATGGTGAGTTAAATATCAGTTTCAACTGTTTAAATATTTAGGTTAAAGACACTCAAAAAAATGATATGTTGGCTTTACTTAACTTTTTTATGTAAACAGGTTCCACCGGTTCCACATAACTTTGTTTCGTTAAACAAACATAATATGTTCATGTAACTTCAACATCATGGAATTTGGTCATTTTAAGCGACCCAATTAAACTGAGCTAATGAGTTAATTAAGTGAATAACTGAGTGATGATTGAGCATTATTGAAGACACCTGATGTTAACAAGCAGAATCTCTGAAGGAGAAAACCGGAATGTTTAAGTCACCATTATGGAGATAAGTATTTGTTTTAGTTGGGCTCTTGACCATTAACTTATTAACTTTAGATTTTGTTTGGTTGCTGTACATGAGTTATAACAGCCAGATGAACAATGAAATCTGATGGTGTTGGTTGTGATTTAACACAATCATTTGACCTCAATCACTGAACTTATATTGAACCCAATTTCTAAGTTAAGTTTACCTTACTGTCTTTGTAGAGCATACTATTTTTAGCCTTTTCAATGAAATTCAAATTATCAAATCAAGAAATAAAAAATAAACTTCTAAAAAAAATATCCTGAGTAGGCACACACAGACATCAAGAATCAGCATATGAATCTCAGCAATGGTGACAAACAGATCATAAGCTCATTATTTATTCATGCAGCAATGCATGATGGGAGCCATGAATGAGTTTTGATTGGTGGCACCCAGAATGCACTGCAACATGCTTTATAATTGTCACCATTGTTGAGATTCACAGGCTGATTCTTGATGTCTGTGTGTGCTTACTCAAAATATTTTTTAGGAAGTTTCTTTTATTTATTGATTTGATCATTTAAAATTCATTGAAAAGTCTAAAAATAGTATGCTCTACGATGACAGTGCTGCTATTATTCGTAAGGTAAACTTAACTCAGAAATTTGGTTTAATATAAGTTCAGTGACTCAGGTCAAATGATTGTGAAATAATGATTATGTTAAAACACAACCAACACCATCAGATGACCTTTGTTTATTGTTCATCCGGCTGTTATAACTCATGTACAGCAACCAAACAAAATCTAAAGTTAATAAGTTAATGGTCAAGAGCCCAACTAAAACAAATACTTATCTCCATAATGGTGACTTAAACATTCCGGTTTTCTCCTTCAGAGATTCTGCTTGTTAACATCAGGTGTCTTCAATAATGCTCAATCATCACTCAGTTATTCACTTAATTAACTCATTAGCTCAGTTTAATTGGGTCGCTTAAAATGACCAAATTCCATGATGTTGAAGTTACATGAACATATTATGTTTGTTTAACGAAACATAGTTATGTGGAACCAGTGGAACCTGTTTACATAAAAAAGTTAAGTAAAGCCAACATATCATTTTTTTGAGTGGATGCAATAATGAATGCACACACCATTTTGCTTCTTTTTTTTGTCTGTTTTGTTGCATTATATTCTCATATGTTCTCTGTATCTGGTTTGGACTTATTTGACTTATTTCCTGATTTTGTTTCATGTTTGTAGTCTTTTGTAGTTTTTCTTATTATAGTCTCTGATTGTTCCCAGGTGTCTTATCATTATTACCCTCTGTGTGTGTGTATATATATATATATATATATATACAGCTGCTGGTCATATAATTAGAATGTCATCAAAAAGTTGATTTATTTCAGTAATTCCATTCAAAAAGTGAAATTTGGAGATTATATTCATTCATTACTGATATATTTCAATTGTTTATTTCATTTAACTGTGATGATTAAAAACTGACAACTAATGAAAATCCCAAATTCAGTATCTCCGAAAATTAGAATATTACTTAAGACCAATACAAAAAAAAGGATTTTTAGAAATATTGGCCAACTGAAAAGTATGAGCATGTACAGCACTCAATACTTAGTTGCGGGTCCTTTTGCCTAAATTACTGCAGCAATGCGGCGTGGCGTGGAGTCGATCAGTCTGTGGCACTGCTCAGGTGTTATGAGAGCACAGGTTGCTCTGATAGTGGCCTTCAGCTCTTCTGCATTGTTGGGTCTGGCGTATCGCATCTTCCTCTTCACAATACCCCATAGATTTTCTATAGGGTTAAGGTCAGGCGAGTTTGCTGGCCAATTAAGAACAGGGATACATGGTCCTTAAACCAGGTACTGGTAGCTTTGGCACTGTGTGCAGGTGCCAAGTCCTGGTGGAAAATGAAATCTGCATCTCCATAAAGTTGGTCAGCAGCAGAAGCATGAAGTGCTCTAAAGCTTCCTGGTAGACGGCTGCGTTGACCCCTCAGAAAACACAGTGGACCAACACCAGCAGATGACATGGCACCCCAAACCATCACTGACTGTGGAAACTTTACACTGGACTTCAAGCATCGTGGATTACGTGCCTCTCCTCTCTTCCTCCAGACTCTGGGACCTTGATTTCCAAAGGAAATGCTAAATTTACTTTCATCAGAGAACATAACTTTGGACCACTCGGCAGCAGTCCAGTCCTTTTTGTCTTTAGACACTTCTTCTGACGCTGTGTCTTGTTCAAGAGTGGCTTGACAAGGAATGCGACAGCTGAAACCCATGTCTTGCATACGTCTGGTTCTGGAAGCACTGACTCCAGCTCAGTCCACTCTTTGTGAATCTTCCCCACATTTTTAATGGGTTTTGTTTCACAATCCTCTCCAAGGTGCGGTTATCCCTATTGCTTGTACACTTTTTTTTACCACATCTTTTCCTTCCCTTCGCCGCTCTATTAATGTGCTTGGACACAGAGCTCTGTGAACAGCCAGCCTCTTTAGCAATGACCTTTTGTCAGTTTTGCCACAGACTGATCGACTCCACGCCACGCCGCATTGCTGCAGTAATTCAGGCAAAATTGGGAGCCCCTACTAAGTATTGAGTGACACATGCTCATACTTTTCATGTTCATACTTTTCAGTTGGCCAACATTTCTAAAAATCCTTTTTTTGTATTGGTCTTAAGTTATATTCAAATTTTTGGAGATACAGGATTTTCATTAGTTGTCAGTTTTAATCATCACAATTAAATGAAATAAACATTTGAAATATATCAGTCTGTGTGTAATATATATATATATCCAAATTTCACTTTTTGAATGGAATTACTGAAATAAATCAACTTTTGGATGATATTCTAATTATATGACCAGCACCTGTATATATATAGTTGTTATAGTTGTCAGTTCTGTTACTTGTGTTTAGTTCTAAGTTCTTTGTTTTGTATCTTATTATTATTATTGTTTCTTATTATTATTATTGTTTATTGATAAATCCCCTGCACTGAGATCCTCTCCTCGTTTTCAAAGTTGACTGCCTAGTTACATATATTATTCACTTGAAATTTACATTTTGAACTATCATGAAATCATGAAAGTCTTAATCTGTGACAAACCCTGTTTCTGTTTGTACTGTGTGTGTTTTTGGTGATACAGATGACAACTTAGTGATGGAGGGAGATTCAGTCACTCTAGACTCTGATACCGAAATGAAGGATGGTGTTCGGATTTTGTGGTTGTTTGGACCTGAAACCACTTTAATAACTGGAATCAATAAACGGCCCAAAGGCATCACTGTATATGATGATGTTCTTGATGGGAGATTCAGAGACAGACTGAAGCTGGACGACCAAACTGGATCTCTGACCATCACAAACACCACAACTGAACACACTGGAGATTATAAACTACAGATCAACAGTGTGATCAAGAGGTTCAGCCTCACTGTCTTTAGTGAGTTAATTATCACTTCTTGTATTTATTACAGCTTTTAAAGTCTAAATCTAGACAAGTATATTATCATTTTGCTATCAACATATTGTTTTATTGTTAAAATGGTTTAGGCTTGTATTTAACTTTCTATATCAGATTGTTTTAAATGCTCTACTTTTGATAATCTCGGTTCCTCTCGATGTTTCTTCCTCGTCTGCTTGAATATCTTTATTCATCCTCATTTATCTTTATTCTCTCATATTTTCCAGCTCGTCTGCCTGTTCCCATCATCAGTAACACTTCACACTGTTCTTCATCGTCATGTTCATTGGTGTGTTCATCAGTGGTGAATGTGAGTCATGTGACTCTCTCCTGGTACGCAGGAATGAGTGTATTGTCCAGCATCAGTGCGTCTGATCTCAGCATCAGTCTCTCTCTACCTCTGGAGGTGGAATATCAGGATAAAAACCCCTACAGCTGTGTGCTGACCAATCCCATCAGCAACCAGACCACACATCTGGACATCAACACACTCTGTCACACATGTGCAGGTACGACAGCACTGATATTAGTTGATGTCAGCGCTGATATTAGTGTTTATTGACTGATCTGATCTCAGTTTGATGTGTTTATTCCTCAGACTCTGTCCACTGTTGTGGTCCTACTGAAGCTGTGATCCGATTGGTCCTCTCTGCTCTGGTGGGCGTGGCTACTGTCATCATTCTGGTTTATGACATCAGATCCAGAAGAGCTGAACGAGATCAAGCACATATTCACACATCAGGTACATGATTGATGATGTCATTTCTCACAAACTGATTTTGAATATAGTATTATTTCTGAGATTTATTCATTTATGGATTTATATGTTCATCTTTTCCAGGAAGTATTGAAATCTAAAGCAGAACGCTGAACTTTTAAGGTTCTTCAAATGTGAATTTTTTTGTTCTTGTGTTTTTGTCATATATATACTGATGATTATTTCAGATTCTGACCTCTTTCAGCGTCAGAATTTTTAAAAAAATCATATTTGAACAGCTTTGTTTATATTTCTCTTTGATACAAAAAATGCATAAAGAGACATATATCTCACTTTACTACTGCTGTATATTTGTCATATGTATTTGCTTGCCTTTATCAATAAAGCTTTTCACTCTGAGGTTCATGAGTCTCTCCATATTCTATTGCATTTATTATGTTGAGCGCCTCCTGGAGAAAAAGAAACCGCTTTGCATTGTGGTAGTTTTTCCCCAAGGCACCTGACTGAGGTTTACCTGTCTCCAGTCGACACCCAAGCGTCTAGTCAACACTGACGTCAGCTGAGTCGGTCAACGTCATGAGCCCTACGAATTCTATTAATTGGGAATAAGGTCTCTACTGTTCCACTAACCTGCTGCACAGCATTAACTAGACAGACTCCAGACAATGCCTTCCAATGTGCTTTAATCACGGCTGGAGGACCTCAGACCAATTTCAGAGAGAATCCCACCAGCAAAAAGAATATCACCATTTTTATAGAATAGGAGCATTGGCAAAAGTAACATGATACATTACATAATTATTCTCAAATATGATTAGTTCTACATTTGTATAATCCAGCAAACCCTTCTGTTACTATGTAAAAGGAAATCTGGATTTCATGATTACTCAAAATCATGAGTTTATAAATTTAGATATCTGTTTCATTTCCCCTTTTGTGGACATGCGTTTGTGTTGGTCTTTGATGGGGATTTCCTTCATTGGAGTCTTTGCCTCAAAAGGGGGTATCATCCATCAGGCATAATCGTCACATATATAGGTTGTAGACATGATATAAAATTATGCAGTTGAACGATATTTGGTTATAAGTCTAAATTTGGTTATAAGTTTAAATTAATCTGATGCATTTTGATCATGTAAAAGCAGTCTTAGTCGTTTTTTAAGAGATTTCCACGAGAGGTCCCTCGGAGGTCTTTAAGAAGAAAGACCTGTTTTATATATCTGTCTTGGGGGTCAAAAAACCTCTGGCATTATCTTTGTGGGGCTCAAGATTTGCTATCTCTTTAGTTAGCTTAGACTTAATGCCCACTTCATTAAGGTTCTAGATTTTTCTTATTCAAACAAATTATCTCTGTGGGCAAGTGATGTAATCGGTGTGTGGCACACCAGTAACACTAACTATCTCAGCAAGCCTACCTGTGCCTGAGTGGCCATTGAATTGTTTTTAGCTGTGGTTGGCACATAATAAAAAGGAGGGGAAAAATCAAATATTGCATAAATCTATACAAATTCAAATGTATAAATTTTTTATCAGTGATTATTGACTTATCAGTATGTTAGGAGTTCTTAACTCTTGCAGAGTTTATGTCCACACCTGATCAAACTCATCTGCTTGTGACTTTCTAGTCAGTAAACCAAAATAGCTTGATTAGCTTGTTCAGGTGTGTCGGACTAGGTTTGGTGCTAAAGTCAGCAGGACAGTGGTCCTCGAGAGCCAGAGCTGAGATCCCCTGCAAGATGTTCTGAACACGACAATTCAGAGATCCAGAATGACTGCTAGATTGATCACTTACAACAGTGGTGTCCAGTCCTGGTCGTGGAGGACCAACGTCCTGCAGAGTGAAGTTCCAACCTGCCCACACACCTGCCTTTAGTTCCTGGTGATCCTGAAGACCTTGATCAATGGGTGATCAATCCCCGGCTTGTGTCCAAGTAGTGCACTTACCCATGGATCACCCCTCTTGATCCACAGCCACCTTGATGTTTTTTTTTTCCTGTAGCTTCTGTGATGTTCTTGGTGGCTCTTCTTTCCTGCAACCCTCTAATACCAAGGAGACTGAGTGTCCGGTGTAGAGACTGTCTAGTGAAGTCCCTGCAGCCTCGCTCAATGGGCTTGCAGTGGGCCCTCCACCCATACCTTCTACATTCCTCTGACAATTCGAGATACCCTTCTTGTGCTCATGGGCCTCCCCTATCCCGTCTTCCCAAGGTACAGTAAGTTCCAACATGATCACTTGCTTGGAACAGTCTTACCTGCTTCCCTAGGTAAACCTTCAGCTGGCAGTCACAAGCTGAGGCTAGCAGCCCATTTGAGGCCCTGGGCTCCACAAAGGCAATGTTGTGCCTTACTGGGAGCTGATGTTTGCTCTTTTGGATTGCGATGCAGATGGTGTCAGCTACTGCCTTCAGCACCTGGTCATGGCACTACACTTTCCTCCCCTCTTCCAATGCTTTTGGGCAGCAGCTCAAGATGTGCTATAAGGAACCTCTTGCCAGGTACAGTGGGCATGCTGGGGTATTGGCTAAACCCCAGCAATGCAGGTTGGCTGGGCGTGGAAGGAGACTCCTTCACCGCTGGTTCCGACCAGTCCAGAGATTTCTTCACCGCTGGTTCCGACCAGTCCAGAGCCTTCTTCACCGCTGGTCCCGTCCAGCCCTGAGCCTTCTCCGCTAGTCCCGTCCAGCCCAGAGCCGTCTTCACCGCTGGACCCGTCCAGCCCAGAGCCTTCTTCACCGCTGGTCCCGTCCAGCCTGTCCAGCCCGTCCAGCCCTGAGCCTTCTTCACCGCTGGTCCCGTCCAGCCCAGAGCCTTCTTCACCGCTGGTCCCGTCCAGCACAGAGCCTTCTTCATCGCTGGTCTTAGCCAGCACAGAGCCTTCTTCACCGCTGGTCCCGTCCAGCCCTGAGCCTTCTCCGCTAGTCCCGTCCAGCCCAGAGCCTTCTTCACCGCTGGACCCGTCCAGCCCAGAGCCTTCTTCACCGCTGGTCCCGTCCAGCCCAGAGCCTTCTTCACCGCTGGTCCCGTCCAGCCCAGAGCCTTCTTCACCGCTGGTCCCGTCCAGCACAGAGCCTTCTTCACCGCTGGTCCCGTTCAGCCCAGAGCCCTCTTCACCGCTGGTCCCGTCCAGCCCAGAGCCTTCTTCACCGCTGGTCCCGTCCAGCACAGAGCCTTCTTCACCGCTGGTCCCGTCCAGCCCAGAGCCCTCTTCACCGCTGGTCCCGTCCAGCCCAGAGCCTTCTTCACCGCTGGTCCCGTCCAGCCCAGAGCCCTCTTCACCGCTGGTCCCGTCCAGCCCAGAGCCTTCTTCACCGCTGGTCCCGTCCAGCCCAGAGCCCTCTTCACCGCTGGTCCCGTCCAGCCCAGAGCCCTCTTCACCGCTGGTCCCGTCCAGCCCAGAGCCTTCTTCACCGCTGGTCCCGTCCAGCCCTGAGCCTTCTCCGCTGGTCCCGTCCAGCCCAGAGCCCTCTTAACCGCTGGTCCCGTCCAGCCCAGAGCCCTCTTCACCGCTGGTTCCATCCCGCCCAGAGCCTTCTTCACCGCTGGTCCCGTCCAGCCCAGAGCCTTCTTCACCGCTGGACCCGTCCAGCCCAGAGCCTTCTTCACCGCTGGTCCCGTCCAGCCCGTCCAGCCCAGAGCCTTCTTCACCGCTGGTCCCGTCCAGCCCAGAGCCTTCTTCACCGCTGGTCCCATCCAGCCCAGAGCCTTCTTCACCGCTGGTCCCGTCCAGCCCAGAGCCTTCTTCACCGCTGGTCCCGTCCAGCCCAGAGCCTTCTTCACCGCTGGTCCTGTCCAGCACAGAGCCGCCTTCACAGCTGGTCCCGTCCAGCACAGAGCCGCCTTCACAGCTGGTCCCGTCCAGCACAGAGCCCTCGCTGCTGGTCCCGTCCAGCCCAGAGCCCTCGCCACTGACGCCATCCAGCCCAGAGACTCCTTCACCGCTGGTTCCGACCAGTCCAGAGATTTCTTCACCGCTGGTTCCGATCAGTCCAGAGACCACTTCACCGCTGAGTCCGAAGAGGTTGAAGAGTCTCTCCACGTTTTATTACATGTATGACGTTGAGCGCCTCCTGGAGGAAAATACACAGCTTTACATTATTAATACATTATGTAAATGTTTACATGATTATCAATTTCATCACTTTTATATTTTTAAATGATTATTAAATTATAATTTTTGTATGTCTTAAAGATTTCCTGGCATAAACTAAATATTTATTTTATTTACTCATATTAATCTAATGAGTTTGTTTCCCCATATGAGCTCCCTTTCACACTTCCAGGGTTCCAGAGTTTTCACGACTTTCTAAAATGGGGAAAATAAACAGAGATTGATTACGGTTAGAAGAGAGAAGTCAAATCCACGTCACTCCCTTGGCAGCTGTATTATAAACACTTATAGCATTTTTTTTGGTAACACTTTACAATACGGGTGCACTAATATGCATTAATTCATGTTTAACTAATGCATAGATAATCATGAGTTAATGTATGATTCATGAAGAACTAAACCATTAATTAATGATTACTGCATCAGCAAACTAATAAAGAGTCTATATGATTAATAGATTAAGTAATACATGAATTGCTAATTCAATGTGTCATTGTGTATTAATTCCTTAATAACCTATTTTGTTAACTAATAGTGTAAATTAATGTGTTAATTACCACAATTAGTCAAATCTATGCACTTCAACTTCCAGTTGTCTGCTTTAATTAATCATTAGCTAATGATTTGCAAAGGTATCATTATGTTATGACTTAACTTGTTGAGGCACATCACTATTAACTAGTCATTTAGTGAGTGTAGTAATTTATACATGAATTTGCACTAACAATGAAGTAATTAATCATGTATTAATGCATATTAGTGTACCTGTATTATCTGGAAGTTGAAATACAACGCTTTGGCTCATTCTGGTAATTAACATATTAATTAACACTATTAGTTCAAAAATGAGTTATTAGGGAATTAATTCACAATTACATATTTAATTAATAACAATTCATGTATGAACTAATACATTAACCATACAGACTCTGAAATTGAATTAGTTCATAATGTGGTAATCAATAATGAATAGCTTAGATAATCATTAGTTACACATTAATTCAGTATTATCTGTGCATTAGTTAAGCAATTAATTAATGCTTATTAGTGCACCCGTATTGTAAAGTGT